GTACAATCTAAGGTCCCTAACTCACATTCATATATACACATATTAGGGCCAATTTAGACAGTATCCAATTAACCTACCAGCATGTCTTTGGAGTGTAAGAGGAAGCCGGAGTACCCAGAGGAAACCCATGCAGGCACAGGGAGAACATGCAAACTCCAGGCAGGTGGTGCCGTGCTGGGATTTGAACCAACGACCCGAGTACTGCCAGGTGGAAGTGCTAACCATTTAGCCACTGTGCTGCCCCAGTTAATAATAGTAATGGGCCCTCTTAGAGTTGCGTTGTGGAGTGGGTGCATGGAATACAGTCATATATATGTTGCAAAATGGAGTGAAGGGAAGATGTGTATAACTGCATATAGGCTCATAGCACATAAAGGGTTAATAACATCATGAGCTTAGGGTATTTAAGGAGCAGAGTATACCGACATGACAATGCTCCTAATGACGCCAGTGTGACAAAATGCATTAGGTGGGGATTGTTATGTCACTTCCGCTTCCATACTTCCTGTTGGTAGAATGCAGGAAGTAGTCTATGCGCTGTTGCTTGTGAACCATGCAAGCATTTTAACATTGTAAGTGGATTTTAATTGCTTTTATATTCTAAAATAAAACGTAATTACACTATTGGAGACTGCCTCTGGCTTTGTTTTCCCCCTTATATGCACCTAAACCTAGAGGATACAAGCATTCTGCAAGAGCAGTGATACTGGAGCCAGGGAAGGGGAAAATACCCATATCAAAGCACCTGGGACATTCTTTTTAGCTAATAAGAGGCTATTAGAATTTGATGAGTGTGGTGGAAAAGGAGGGGAGCACGGAGTGTTCTGCACACTATTAAATACAGTGAAGTTATTTGGCACTTTATATTGCACAATTTTGTACAAACAATTTGTTAATGGAAGTTTATATGGATACTTTGATTATAGGGAAAACAATTCTGATCACTTTATTGCACATGGTTTCATGCTAACTAGTATGGTTATATGCATTTTAATACTTATGTGGCACTTTATGTAAATTTGCACTATAGTATGGTACTCATATAATTATCCATTGCATTGGCACCTTATACAGATCCCTAGTAAGCATAGCACAAATGTGTTAATTTAATGCCTACTGTTTGCCTCCATTTCTGGAGTCACCCATATTGAAGAAAAACTAATCCACATGAATTGTGTCGCAGTTCAGTGGATGATTCCACTCCACTGGAAGTCCCAAGACATGTGCTTGTCACAGGTCAAATCCAGGGCTGAGGCAATTATGTTTATGGAGAAATTATTTTATATCCTCATAACTCGAAAATTCACTTTAAAGATAAACAGGACCCCTGGGCATACTATAAACACCTCTTTCTATAACATTATGGTCCCTCCTCCCTCATAGGTCTCCTCTACCCAGTTCATAGTGGTAGTCACTCATCCTTTTTGTCTTGCATAGCATCTTGGTCTTTGGATTATTCTAAATCCTATATTCTGCACCATGTAGACATATAGTTGCTATTACTGTTCTATAATTGTAACATGCCAAACCTGATAAACATTATGTCTTGGTTTCTATAATATATACTCTATGCTTCATTATTTACTAAATCTATTACAGTGTGCTGATGCTATTGTTGTTTTTCTTGTAATCTTAATAAAAGTTAGTAAACAAAACAAAATAAAAAAAACAGCGTTTTTTTTAAATCAAGTGTACATGAGGCCGAAAAAGACAGCACAGCAGCAAATGTGTTTTTTGAATAACATTTTCTGATTGCTTATATGTAAAATTCACTCCATCCATGCAACTAGAATTCCAACAGCATATAGATCCATGACCCACAGTGGCCAGCTTGACTGAAATGTGCATGCAATTATACTCTGTCTAAGCCACATGTTACTTCCTTAGGACTTTGTTAGGGGCTCCCAAAGTAGTTTTTATGCCACTTTGGTTTTACTTATGGATTTTACACAAGAATATGCTATGTGGATCTTTTTCCTGTATCCATTAAACATGATGAGAATTTACTGAATGACATGATAATATTTATGTTAATTATGAAATACACATGGTGTATTAGCAAACAATCTAACCTGGTTTTTGAAATGTGTGCAGAATTGGAATTGCACTTGGCAATTTATTTACACAAGAGATTTAATATTATTTGTTGTACATTATATTAGCACCGAGGCACTATATAGTAGTATAGTGTATAGTAGTGTAGCACCCTCCTAGGTAGGTGCTAGAAGTAGTATATATAGGATTAGTTGTGTTTTTCACAGGTAAATTTAGTTGTCACTCTGTGGTCAGAGTGGTTGTAAATATTTGCTAGAAAAAAGCATAGCTTTTTGTACTGGATGGGTTAATTGAGTTAGGTCTGCTTTGTGTGCTGCTAGTCTACCTGGCATCCTCTGTATCCAGGAAACTGTAGAGGTTTCTGGATGATAGGTGTGGTGTTATACAGATGGAAGCATAAATATTGATACAGCCTCAGCCTGTTCCAGAAAGAAGGGCTCTAAGTCATGCTGGGTAACTGTATATTTATTCAGTGAGCATACAAAGTGCTGGGTATTTCCTGAATAGGATTGTCCAAGCCTGGGAGAGGTCACGTTGCCCACCCAGGCATCTACTGGTGGGCGACCCGAGGGCCTGAATGCTGAGATCCTGGGTTCTGCTAAGCTGACTGAGGGGCTGTCTCCTGAAGATTGGGTCTTGCATCATGGAGGAAAGTGTCCATTTGCTCGTGGAGCTTGTGAGTACAGACATCCCTAAGGATCTTGGGGACTGAGTGCTGTTTAACCCACTCTGGTGCTAACAAGTCAGCTGCAGGTCTAGCAAAGGCTGGTGTACTACTTAAAGGGATACTGCTCTGGGGTTCTAAAGAAGTTACTGCTGATACTGCTACTACTTATTTCTACTGCCTTCAGCTGAAGTCCACTGTTTGATTCAAGCAAGGACCCCGATATAGTCTGCCCTGCAGATTAGATAAAGTCCTCAATGTACTGTACATAGTTTCTATTTTGGAGTATCCCACTCAGCTCCCTCAAGCCTATCCCAATTCTTCAAAAATAAAAACAACACCCCTAGACTGGATTATTGGAAAAACATGTGAATTAGCCTAAGTGCCTGGGGAGACCCAGGACAGTATTCATGTGGCTCTTACAGGAGTAGCGCTACTTTTGGGGGTTTGTCCATGATTTTCCACTGGAATATGACAGCTGTTGATGGCAACGGCCAGAGGAAAAGAAAAGAGACTGTCAATGTTGCTGTGTGGATTGTGGGGTGGCAATCGGTGTAGACAACTATTGTGTCACAGTGGGAAATGTCTGTACTACACTAAAGACTGTTGCCAGTGCAGAATTATCTCCAAGGTGTGATGGTGAAAGAGTTAACTCAGTGTGCAGGACTAGGAGCACCAATGAGGTCTTCCTGGAGAGAGGTAGGGTCACCGCTGTTGTGTGTGCTACAAGGGAAAATGTCTGTGTTACACTAAAGACAGTTGCCAGTCGTAAAGCATTTTTGTGTGGCGGTGAAGGAGTTAACTCAGGGCACTAGAGTGTGAGCGCTGGTAAAGCCTGTTGAGAGACAAGGGAAAATGCCGCAGGAATGTTTGTTACTATCTGCATTAGAGCATGGTGTCAGGAATGGACTTGCCAATAGTGGTGGGACTCACCTGCCTTGTGGGCTGCAGTACCAGGGCTGGCCAGCGGGTGCTCTCAGCAATCAGAGACTCACCCCTGCAGTCAGCCAAAACACCTGAAGCTGATTGCAGGGGTTGTATTTAAGGAATGGCCAGACTTACAGTCAGGGCCTTGGTGTGTGTTTTTCCATGGGCCCCTGTATCCTGTAACCTGCATTCCTGTTCCTGTTTCTGCCTGACTTGTTGCCGACCCTGCCTGATCCTGACCTCTGCTGACTTCTCCTGTTTGATCCCTGGCTTGTGACCCTGACTATTCTCCGCCTGCTCCTCCTGTACCTACCTGCCCAATAGTTATCGACCCGGCCTGCCTCACTACGTTGTGCTCTATATGTGTATGTACCTGTGTATCTATATCAGTTTAGGTTTGGGTTTGTTTCACCTTGTTGTATGTATTTGTGTTAGCTTGGGGTTCGGTGCACTGCGTTTACATTTGTATTGTTAGTCCTAATAAATTGTCTTATTTATACCATATCTGAAGCCTACGTTTCCCTGTGTCAGTTCACACCCCTCTGGCCCTGACATTACACCAAGGCCATCCTGACCAGAAGTGGCTGCACAGGGAAGCCATCTTGGCTTGTTGCTGGGAAGGATGCATCTTGATGAGGTTGTGTATTTGGCGCTGCTGGTTTTTGATGACAGAGAGTATGCTTATCAGACTCTGAAGGAGTATACCCGGGATCAACTGCTAGAATGTATACGGGTCGCTCATGTTCTAGTAGATCAGGGCACAGAATTCTCTGAGGTGCAACCTTTGATTCAGGTTTGTGCAGAGTTGGCTTTATCTGGTACCCCTGAAAGCAGGAATGACTTTTTGGCACCATTTAGTGCAGACCAGGTAGAGTCCCTGGTATGGTTATTAGAGGATGATGTGGATTGCTTCTTGGAGCATTATGCTGCATGTTCACAACAGGTATTAAGGGATTGTATAAACGCAGTGCAGTCTTTGACCAGACAGGCTTTGTGTAAGCGGAGCTTTGTTCAACCCATACTGCAGACATGGACAGATTTGTTGCACCCAGCCTCAGTCAGCTTACAACGTCATTCCTCCACTCAAGGCACTCTTCCTGCATCCCCGACAGCACCCCCAGTGACGGCCCAGTATACTCTGCTAACTACCACATATCAGTTCTCTGCTCCCACTCGCTGCACCTATCCTGCCTTTAACCCTGTAAAGAAGTCCTCTGTAGCAACTGCTCTCTCCTCTGTTCCATCCTCCAGCTCTTCTCTGTCTTCAGCTGCTCCATCCGTTTACAAACCTGCGCTTACTTACAGTGCTCTGGTAACTAAAACCAGGAAAAGGCAAAAATTCTTTCCAACCAATACCATCCTGCCAGTATCCAAACCGGTCAGCCTGCCATCTGAGAACCCACCTTCCATGGTGCAGCCTGGTGCCTCGGCGCCCACAATTCAGCCTGATGTCTCAATTCAGCCTGATGTCTCAATTCAGCCTGATGTCTCTACCCAGCCTGATGTCTCTACCCAGCCTGATGTCTTTACCCAGCATGATGTCTCTACCCAGCCTGATGAACTGATTCAGCCTGATGATCCTATTATGCCAGATGACTCGATGCCCGCTGTCTTGCCAGATGACTCGGAGCCCGCCGTCTTGCCAGATGACTCGGAGCCCGCTGTCTTGCCAGACGACTCAGTGCCCGCAGTCTTGCCAGATGACTCAGTGCCCGCAGTCTTGCCAGACGACTCGGTGCCCTCAGTCTTGCCAGATGACTCGATGCCCGCTGTTCTGCCAGACGACTCGGTGCCCGCTGTCTTGTCGGTTGACTCGAGAGCCCGCTGTCGGGCCGGTTGACTCAGAGCCCGCTGTTGTGCCTGGTGACTCGGGGCCCGCGGTCTTGCCAGATGACTCGGAGCCCGCGGTCTTGCCAGTTGACTCGGAGCCCGCTGTCGGGCCGGTTGACTCGGAGCCCGCTGTGCCCGCTGTCGGGCCGGTTGACTCAGAGCTCGCGGTCTTGCCAGATGACTTGGTGCCCGCGGTCTTGCCAGATGACTTGGTGCCCGCGGTCTTGCCAGATGACTCGGTGCCCGCAGTCTTGCCAGACGATCCAATGCCTGATGACCCAGTGCCTGCTGTCATGCCTGGTGACCCGATGCCCGCTGTCGTGCCTGATGACTCGATGCTCGCTGTCGAGCCAGACGATCCAATGCCTGATGACCCGGTGCCCGCTGTCGTGCCAGTTGACTCGGAGCCCGCTGTCGTGCCGGTTGACTCAGAGCTCGCTGTCGTGCCTGATGACTCGGGGCCCGCGGTCTTGCCAGATGACCCGGTGCCCGCCGCTCCACCTGGGGGCCCGGTGCCTGCCGCCCCACCTGGGGGCCCGGTGCCCGCCACCCTGCCTGGGGGCCCGGTGCCCGCCACCCCGCCTGGTGGCCCGGTGCCCGCCACCCCGCCTGGGGGCCCGGTGCCCACCGCCCCGCCTGGGGGCCCGGTGCCCGCTGCTCCACCTGGTGGCCCGGTGCCCGCCACCCTGCCTGGGGGTCCGGTGCCTGCCGCTCTGCCTGGTGGCCCGGTGCCCAGTGCTCCGCCTGGTGATCCGGCGTCCAGCCTGATGTGCCTCCGTCCGGTGCCCAGCCCGAAGTGCCTCCGTTCAGTGTTCAGCCCGAAGTGCCTCCGTCCAGTGTCCAGCCCGATGTGCCAGTCTTTGATATCCCGCCAGTCACCGGACCCGGGCGGTGGAACATTTTGCCCAGCTAGGACTGTTTGGAGCGTCCTGAGGCTGCTCCTTGGGGGGGGAGTACTGTCAGGAATGGACTTGCCAACAGTGGTGGGACTCACCTGCCTTGTGGGCTGCAGTACCAGGGCTGGCCAGCGGGTGCTCTCAGCAATCAGAGACTCACCCCTGCAGTCAGCCAAAACACCTGAAGCTGATTGCAGGGGTTGTATTTAAGGAATGGCCAGACTTACAGTCAGGGCCTTGGTGTGTGTTTTTCCATGGGCCCCTGTATCCTGTAACCTGCATTCCTGTTCCTGTTTCTGCCTGACTTGTTGCCGACCCTGCCTGATCCTGACCTCTGCTGACTTCTCCTGTTTGATCCCTGGCTTGTGACCCTGACTATTCTTCGCCTGCTCCTCCTGTACCTACCTGCCCGATAGTTATCGACCCGGCCTGCCTGATTACGTTTTGCTCTATATGTGTATGTACCTGTGTATCTATATCAGTTTAGGTTTGGGTTTGTTTCACCTTGTTGTATGTATTTGTGTTAGCTTGGAGTTTGGTGCACTGCGTTTACATTTGTATTGTTAGTCTTAATAAATTGTCTTATTTATACCATATCTGAAGCCTACGTTTCCCTGTGTCAGTTCACACCCCTCTGGTCATACCCGGAGCCCTGACACATGGACTGCTAATGTCAGCATTACAGCACAGTCAGAGTTCCTCCTGCGCTATGAAAATGAAAGTATGCAACCTAGTCTAAAGCTGCCAACACTCAAAAAACTGATACCAAAACAGTGTTAGTGATACATAAAAAATATAAGTAGTGTGGCGCTCTTAACAAATAAATACGTGCCAAATATAATCAATAGAATCCTAAAAATAAATAAATAATAATCCTTCATATATAATAATAAAAAAACAGATATGATTAGTGCCAAACTAAAATCTATTACCCACTTCATATATATTACAAATAGTGAGTGCCTATTGGTAAATATCACAGTGCACACACACCTATGGCAAACACAAATAATCAAAGGAGCTATATCCAATAGAAAACTATAAAGTATAATACACAGTGCTCACACAGTGCCAAAATAAAACAGTGTCCTCTCAGTTGAAAAAAAACTCTTAGCAATGTCCTTTTGTGAAAACAATATAATCATGCAGTGTGAAATGGCGATACATCCGTGATTGTGTCAAAAAAATCTGATCCTAATAACGGCTAGATTGCCTCCTCACCTCCTCCCAATGACCCCAAAGGGCCAACAGGCTTGCAGGATCTCCCTGGATCCTTGGTTTATAATAGCCAGCAGCTTCCTTCCTTTACTGGGTCTCCTTATTGGGGCTCCTATCGCCCCTGGACAGCCAAGATATTTTCTGAAGAATAATAGCTCACCAGTCCAGTGAGCCAAGAAGAAATTCTAAGTGCAGTACTTCAAACCACTTTCTTTTATTAAACAAGTTTTTAAGAGTAACACTCACATTTCAAAGCAGTCTTCCCTCCTCACCGATGTGTGGGTACACTGCATGTGAATGGGACTTCCTGGGTGTAGCAAAATGGCGTCGCATGCCGGAAGTGCGTCACCACGCACCGGAACTACGGACTCGCGAACCAAGATGGCGTCGTACGGGGACCCTGAGGAAGTCACGAGCAGACAGTGACGTAACGCGTAGGTTCGCGAGTCTGCAGTTTCCAGTGCGTGGTGACGCACTTCCGGCGTACAACGCCATCTTGCTGCACCTAGGAAGTCCCATTCACATGCTGCTCAATTGAGACAGTGTGCCAAAAATCTTGGGTTCAGTGAGACCTATGCAGAGAAGTCTGATCATATCCCCACCCTTTCACCATAGCCCAAGCATGGGCACAAAATGAGGCCTACAGCCATATTATTACAAGAGCTAAAAGCCCCCTTGTTCCACCAGGGAAAAGAGACCAGGATGTGCTGCCAAGGTTTTTGAATTTCCAGCAAATAGTCCAGTGTTGGGTGACTCTGGAGCATGGATATGACTTCTGATATGTCTTGCAGGAAGTCATGGAAGAAATTGAGGCAAAGCGGGTTTCTTGGTGTAAAGACAAAGTGTGGGATTTCATGTATGTACCCAAAATTTCAGGAACAGAACCTACCTGCACCTCTAACAACAGTTCCAGGCCATCAATAGAACTGGAGCCTGGGGAGATCTCTTCACATGCATAAAGTGGTTATTGCCAAGGCTGGATACCAGGACAAGGAGTGATCCAGTAATATCTGGGGACCTGATGGTAAAATGCTCCAGATTCCACATCCAGACTTCTACTGATGAATGGGAGAACTGAGAATGCTCTCTGTTGGGGTCCCCCAAGGCTCTGTCCTCGGGCCCCTTCTCTTCTCCATCTATACCTCCTCCCATGGCCAACTGACACACTCCCACGGCTTCAACTACCATCTCCATGCCGATGACACTCAAATCTATCTCTCTACCCCTTGCCTCACTCCTTCAGTCTCCGCCCGTAACACTAGTCTTCTGAACGACATATCAGACTGAATGTCACTCCACTTCCTCAAATAAACCTTGCCGAAACCGAGCTCCTAGTTTTCCCACCAGCCCGTGCCCCCCCCCAACCTCTCCATCACGACCAACAACACCGCCATCAGCCCCACCATGCAAGCCAGAGTACTAGGTGTCATTCTAGATTCCAATCTGTCTTTCCAGCCCCAGATCCAATCGCTGACAAATTCATGCAGACTCCACCTCTGCAACATCTTCAAAATACGCACGTTCCTAACTCCAGAAACTACAAAGCAACTCATTCACTCCCTTATCATCTCCCGACTTGACTATTGCAACTCCCTCCTCGCCGGCCTACCCCAACACAGGCTATCCCCGCTTCAGTCTATCCTGAATTCTGCAGCAAGACTCATCCACCTTACCAACCGTTCCGTATCTGCCACCCCCCTCTGCCAATCCCTCCACTGGCTTCTGATTGCCCAATGCATAAAATTCAAAATATTAACATTATTGTACAGAGCTGTTCATAACACTGCCCCAAACAACGTCACCGACCTGATATCCATCTACCACCCAAAACACACTCTCTGCTCCTCACAAGACCTCCTTCTCTCTAGTTCCCTGGTCTCCTCCTCCCTGCCCGTCTCCAGGACTTCTCCAGGGCTTCCTCCATCCTCTGGAACTCACTACCCCAATCCATCAGACTGTCACCTTCCCTCCTCACCTTCAGGCGCACCCTGAAAACCCATCTCTTCAGAGAAACCTACCCCGCCCTCACCTAATTTGTGGATCTCCTCCGCTCTTCCCACCACTCCATCACCCACAGCTATTTCCTCCTGTACCACTCTCCCCTCCCTCCTAGATTGTAAGCTCCAAGGAGCAGGGCACTCGAACCCTTCATGTATTGTATTGTTACTGTACTGTCTCGTGTACTGTCTCCCATTATCATGTACAGCGCTGAGCAAACCGTTGGCGCTATATAAATACTGTAAAATAAAAATAATAAGTTGTTGATGCTTATCCAAAGGCAATCCTTTCAGTTGCTGAAAGTTGCATCAAGTTTAAATGGCTACCACCAGTTGAAGAAATTTCTTTGCAGAAAAAGGACTTCCAGTTTATGTGCTGATGTTGCCAGTTTCAGGCCTTTAACAGGGGGTGATCTCCTAATCCCTCACCCCCCAACCCTTCGCTTCCACCCTTGCAAAATTGGAAAGGGTACTTCAAGAAGTCCACTTCGGTGTCCTAGAGATAGACTTCTCTTTAAGTACATCTCCAAGCAAGTCATCCAGGACTACAACCTAAAAGGGTTGAATCCTCCCTCTGCTACCTTATGAGTTGGGTTCTCTGGCCCATGTTTTCTCTTGTCGAGCTAAAGTGTAAGGACACATTGCGAACATTTTACTTCAAAAGGACACGTTGCAAAGATTTACTTTAGAGGCCACTTTGCAAATAGGTATGTCACTTTTAAATGAATGAACTCTATCGAACACCTCTGTACCTCTGTAAGGAGCAGAGAAGGCGTTCTGCAAGATTTTGCATAGTGGATGATATTGAGTATGCATCTGTTCACATCTGTTGCTTGTCGGCCCTTGGTAAAGCCCAATTGATCAGGCTTTACCAGGGTCAGAATTATATCAAATAGCCACTTAGCTAGCAGCTTGGCGTGGATTTTGACATTTATATTTAGTAATGAAAAGGGATTGATAGTTGGATGGTGTGTCAGGAGATTTACCTGGTTTGGGAATAGTTACAATGCTTGAGCATTTATTTTGGAAATGTACTTGTGGAAAATGCTTCTTGAACTACTGGGGAGTTAGGATGTGTTTTAATGCTTTATAACATTCGATGGTAAGGCTGTCTGGACCTGGGGATTTGCTATTTGATAAGGAAATAATTATATGATCCAATTCGTGCTGA